CGAGTGGTCGCGTATCACACCGCGTCTTATCCGCAGTGGCTGTTGCAGGCTGGAGAAAGCTACATGGAGGCCAGCAGATGACGTGGAGACGAGGCATAGAAAATGCACAGCGCGCTTAGGTAGAGTAGGTGCATCTCGTCTTTTGGATTGGCATGCAAAAGACTCCCAAACTGCATGGTTGAAGACACTGAGAACCATGGCAGTAAACCGACAGCAGTGGCGACCTTGCTGTCACTTCTTGTCAGACTAGAATGCTTGAAATAGCTTGTGTGCACAGTTGGATTGTACACTCTGTGTTGACCACAGAGGTTCGCTTTCTTTTCTTGTTTCTAAAATTAAGTCCAGTCCCTATACTCCTTACACATTTTCAATTACCTTGTATGCATTATGAGTTTCGCAACGATCAGTGAAGTTCGCTTCACTGTATTACGCTGTACAATGCTGATGATGTATCGTAGGTATATGTATCTCGGCTTGTTTGAAAACTGCTCCTTTACACCTCGCTTAATGCTCCTATACAAATAAGCGTATCAAATAGCCATACTGCCTTCCCGTGGCAGAGGTGGTTTCCCACAAAAGCAAGCGAACGAAAATCTAATATCCGGGTCGGTAAACCATTGACAGTTCAACTAAGTGTTTTACTTTTTGGTTTATTGTTTAAAGAAATGTATAAACTTTCAGGAGGGCCCTCGGCCACACAAAGGCTTTCTATGGAAACACTGAAAATGGGTGGCGGTGTCGCGGTTCAAACCCAAAACCCCCAGAGGGGCATCTTGACAACCTTGCCGCTCGACTTCCACCGCCCGATTGGTTGGAAATCTGATTCCAAACCAACCAAGAAGAGATGTACGAACCACACACCTTCCTGACTGCAAGGTCGATCTCCGGCTCCATTGGGCATCTTGGATTTTTCTATCCTATCCAAATGGTGTATGGTCCAGGGGACTAAACGTTGGCTTGCAATTGAACAGCGCTTTTGCAGCACCACCGCACTGCTTCACGGGTCAGACTTTGGATAGCCAAAGGCCACTGTTGTCAATTTCCCAAGAAAATTCACCTGGTAGAATGACAGTAGCGAAAAAACCTCTTTGTGAAGATTATTATACTGTTATTTGTTGGGCCCATAGTCTGAACTCAGACGTACCCGCCATTTCACTTTTCTTGGTCCATCCTGTTGTTGGGAACTGTGGTAACCACGTACCCTTTGTGAATAAAGACTTCTTAAACCACGGTGGACGCACTTTTGGCAGCCTGAATATCTGTTAATGCAACAACACGGAGGTAACTGCTACAAATCCATCTTGCCGATAGTTCCACAACCAAAGGTAACTATAAATTTCATTGTGGTATTCTGATGCTGATGAAATTCCGTCACGGACAGTAATACGAACTAACTAACTTATTCTGACTTTAGCATTTTGCTCTTGTCAGTTTAGCAATCGACTTTTTGAGAAGATTAAATGGGGCTAGTGGTATTTTCTTTTTTAATTACAGATCTTAAAAAGGCTAAATTAAATTGTTCTGTCATTCTGACCTCATTTGTTTATTACCTTATCCACTTTCTTTCACCTTTTAGACGCTCAAATGGAAAACGTGACGAATCCTTTTGGAATGCAATTCGGTCCGAGTTCTCTGAGTGAAGTTGGTGTTGAGGCACAGTTAGGTATCTCAGTTGAACCGTTGACAGACTTGCCTCAGCGTACCGACGGTCTGGAATCGGAGCTGACGGGTGAGGATCCCATGACAAGATTTACGCGATTTGCGGCTGAGAGTCTATTCAATTATGTATCAAGCTTTGCTCGAGATTCTCTGGCATCCACGGACCCGCTGGTTCCTATCTCATCCATCAAACGTTGGTTCGACACCATACTCCACAAACTTTCAGTCGATCCTAATTTTTGGAAGAGTTGATTCCCTCATTCGTTTTTTCGATGACGCAATAAACCTGCCGGGAGCTTTCAATTCATAAAATGTTGTACAGCATGCCATTTATAGACCCGTTTCCTGCTTCATAGCATTTTTGTATCGAAAATAATGTAGCACATATTCTCGGTCGTCAACTTGTTTTCTGATTCAACAGATTGGAGGTAAAAAGGGGGGCCTCGCAAATTTTAACTCGTCTTCTCATAGTTCGCAATGATAAATTGTTTCTCGTTTTGGTGGGAATCTATTCTTATCTGCTTTCCTGTGCGCTTTACACCGAGAGCTGCTAGAGTGTATCATGATTTCTCAATCCTACACACAAAGGATGGGCTTGCACAAAGAATGAATATTATAGTGAAACGAGACTAATCGTTTAGATTGACCACGCAACCGAATTGCAAGTTTATATAAGAGAAATTTTGAAATCCATGCCAATCAGTATTCAGGTCATTCAATGTTGAATGTGTCAATTACTATTGGAATGACGGAACGAATAAGCTGCACGATGGTATGCTGATAGGTCCAATCACTTGGTTCACCTTTTAGCCCTGAGGCATGCTAGTCTCCTACTACCCACAGGGTTGTTTCATTTTATGGACGGACCATTGCATGCACTTCTCTGACCAAAACGATCTCTCCACATAGCCAGAGCTAGATCTATGTGGTGGACGAAACAACTCAAATGATAAACCATCATCAACATCGTACAGCGAAATACAGTGAAGCGAGCTTCATTGATCGCTGCCAAGCTCACAATATACAAAAATCAAGTGATAAAGCCTAAGATGGAGAGGGATTGGGCCTACGTGGAGAGAGGCAAAGAAAAAGAACCTCTATGTTCAACACACATAGTACACAATCTAAGTGTTCATACATACCTTTTCAAGCATTCTGACTTTTTAAGCAATGACAACAAGAACGCCACTGCTGTCGGTTAGTCGCCATATCCTTTAATGTCTCCAGCCAGCCAGTTGCAGTCTTTCGGACTCCAACCTGAAAAACGGTAGACCGATTCTACCTAATCGCTCTGTGCGTTTCTTCATGTCTCGCTTCCGCGTCATCTGTTGACCTCCACGCGGTTTCTTCCAATCTGGAGCCGCAGCTGTGAATAAAGCGCGGTGCGGCAGACGATGGCTGGACGTGCGCAATACGTGTCCTAACCATCGAAGCCGACTAATCTGAATTCGATGGGACAACGAATTCTCCATCGAATCATTACCGAATACGCGACGCCTCACCTCAGAGGTGCTTACAAGCTCGCTCCATCCAACCCGCGCCAAACTACGTAAACATCTGCAGTCGAATACTTCAAGACGACGAATATTTTCCACGCGCAAACTTAGGGTCTCGCAACCATAGAGCAGAACTGGCTGCACACTGGCGCAGTATACACGACCTTTCAGTTTCAACGAAACATCGCGTCTACACCAAAGGTGTTTCAATTCTTCATAAGCTGGTCGAGCCTTGGAAATGCGGGCGGTTACCTCATTGACTATGCTACCGTCATTTGAAACGCAGCTACCTAAGTAGGAGAAACATTTCACTACAACTAATTCTTGACCAAGCATCAGTGCTGGGGTAAACAACACCCAGTATTGTTGCATCACTTTGCACTTTGAAGGTGCAAAGCGCATACCGAACCGAGCGACAGAACTTGCTAATCTGTCAAGAGTGCATTGCGCATCCTCCATAGATTCGAACAGGCATACAATGTCATCGGCGTACTCTAAATCGCACAGCTTTTCTCCAGCTGCCCATTCAATACCTACGTTTTGGAGACCAGCGTTCTCCAGTACTTCTTGTACGACGAAATTGAACAGGAATGGCGAAACAGGGCACCCTTGACGGACACCGCTCCTGGATTCGAATGATTTATTTACCCCACCGTAGGCCCTTACGCTACCAGAAANCAATAGGTTTACATATTCCGCGGCATTCCTTTGCGGAGCAGCGACCTCAAAAGAGCTTCACGGTCAACTGAATCGAAGGCTCCTTTTAGGTCAAGGAACACTGCGATTGTTGGCCGACGCTGTGTGCGACGCAGTTCGAGGACTTGACGCAGAGTGAAGCTTTGGTCGATGCATCAGCGACCTGGTCGGAATCCGGCTTATTGTTGGCAGATATTCCTCTCCCTTAAGGGTGTCAGACGGCGAAGTATGACAGAAGTGAGCAATTTTGTGATTATCAGAACTAAACTAAGCCCACGGTGGTTAGCGCAGTCGTTGCGTGATTCCTTCTTGAAAATAGGGACTATCATCGATTCACCCCAAGACAAAGGGATACGCTCCTCCGTGCAAATGCAGCGAAGTAAGCTAGTAACTGAGTCGACAAGAGAATCACCGCCCACCTTGAAAAGAATAGGGAGAAGCCCATCAGGTTACGCAGCCTTTCCTTTTTTGATGATTGAATGCAGCTTAGTATTTCCGATTCTGATGGGGGCTCGCATGCTACCACCCATGGAGTTTCCGCCTCAATTGCTGAAATGACCACATTAGCACTAGGCCAATTGAACTGTTCACTAAAATACTCTGCCCAGCGATCAAGTCGTTCTTTATTGTGGATGCTTTGTCCACTTGTATTGCAAATGATCTCACTGACCGTTATGCGACGACCTCCGGTGCTGCGTATCAGGTGAAATAGTCTTTGACTATTCCCTGATGCAGAAGCTACCTCCACTTCACTAGCTATTTCGGCCCGCCAATTTTCACGATCTTTTTAAAGGCTATTTCTGAGTTGACGTTGCAGGTGACACCGGTTCTTATGCTGATCCTGGCAGATTGGTATCTTTCGCTTTTGATCCATTAGGATTACTGACTCCTGAGAGATCCAATGCCTTCGGCGAGCTTCGGGCTCAGTCCCACAAGCAAAGTTTGCTGCTGAGTGCATCGGAAATTTAATCTGATTCCACTGTTGGTCTACTCCATTATGTCGCGGTTCTCTTAGCGCCTGTCCCAGCTTCCCTTCATAACATGCACAGACAGCTGGATCGCGCAGACGATGGTGAGCTAATTGAGGAGGCGATTTCTGCCGATGACCAATAAGTTGAAGAGCGAAGCGTAACAAAACTAGTGCATGATCCGACTCAACGCAGGTGAACCAATAGGATCGGAAATTCTGTACTGAGCCACGCCAACGGTAGCTTACAGCTACGTGGTCAATGTGCCCGTTGAACTAGAACACCATGTAGCCGTTGGACGAGAGCTGTGTCGAAAGTTGGTGCTAGATAAGAACAGTCAGTGATCCGCGCAGAACTGAAGTTGTCTGTACGCTGGGCAGGTAGGGTAAAGTGCTCTCCTAGACAGGCTTCAAGTGCGCTCAGTTTTCCAACTTAGGCATTAAAATCACCTGCCAGCACTATAACATCAGAGTTGCGGCTCAACCGAATTAGTTCGGCGAGTTTGTCGTAAAATTCGTCCTTTCGTGAAGCGGGACTGCAGTTGGTTGATGCATACGCGGAAATTATGAACAAACAGCTTTTGGTGTTGCTACTCTTCCAAACACTAACTGAACCCTGTAGCCTCATTGCGCACAGATGACTATTGACGGATATCCAATCTATCATAGGGGCTGCAGCTTTATCGCTTAGTACGATACCTACACCACGCCGACCCAGTGAGCGGGCTTCGTCGTCTCCTGATGTACGAAGGAAATACCTCGAGGACAGACCCGGCGCACTCAGGTGGCTAGGATCTAGAATTCGTGTCTCCGATACGCAACAGACATCGATTTCTAGAGGCTGCATTGTACGCGCATGACACGCCTGTTGACCCACCTGCAAAAGGGTCCTCACGTTGAAAGCCCCCAGATTGACGCGGCTTCAGAATCTGTACCTTATTTACAGGAAAACTAGTTACAGTGCTATTTGGCAAAGACCTTTGGCGAGTGACGACCAAGTTATCTGAGGGAATATCACGGGTCAGAAGAAGGGGTAAAGGAACAGGGTTGAGTAAGGAAGACAAAGTTAAACTAAGGTTGGGATATCTGAGCAGCAGCTCACTTATCATAACCCGCTTCGCTCGATCCTGATTATCCAGCACGACGACCGATGTAGTATAAAATCATCTTTTGTTTGTGTGTTCTTTGGAGCTTTCTGGACGGGTAGTGTCAGGATGTCCAGCCACTAAGCAGAACGATTAAGGTTCTCAACCAAAGCCTTTAGATCTGACGATAACCTTACCGCAATGCAGCGACTAAGGTGGATGGGGGGCCCATCAACTTGGGTCAATTATTCCTCCAACACGTTTTATCGACTGAGACGCCGAGTCAAGTCGAACCACTAACCTGGAGGACTAGGAGACTGGACTTCATCTAACCTCTACCCATCGAACTTCCAGGCATGAATAGATCTTTGGCTCGCTACAAGCCTTTGTGTTTAGCTCGTTTGGTCAGAGAGGTGCACAATCCAGCACACCACGTCAAGGTGCAGTCTCGTCGTGATGGCTGATAAACCCAGTCTCAGATAGGAATGTGAACAACCTCGCTGCCACCCCTTCCAATGACACCTGTCGTTGCAAACCTGGGCTGTTTGCTACTACAAATCTAGGGGTAAGACATACAGAACATTTGATTATGTTGATTACGGTATTCCATGTTCATTATAGTATGTGCAAACATGACGCGCAGGATTGTTTTGATGGCAAGGCGCGGGTGGTGCACGCGAGTAAAATGGGTTTCTGTGCTAATGACGTTGGCTATGTGGTACACCAACAACTCGGTAACATAATGTCAGGAAGGTTCAATTCCAAACAAATCCGGTCGAAAAAGTCATATGTTTGGCGAGAATAGCCAGAAGAAAAAAGCCGCAGCTGGGTGAGCCTCCAGCCCGAAATGATCAATCACTGTATTTCACCACGGACGGTACGACGTTTCTGATTGGTCAGACAGCATAATCAACCGGGCGGTTCGACGACTCTGATTGGTCAATTGATATCAAACGTTCAGAACGCACCTGACGCAATAAAAAGGAACGAATGCTAACGCGTAAAGAC